TGTCCTTCCTTTTAGTACATCCCGTTTTTCTGCCCTTGTAAGTTTTTGTTGCCTTGACTCTTACTGAGACAAGGCAGAATATAAGAGTTTAAAATAAGATATGAATCTAGGCTGTGACCTCAAGGCTCATGTTTGGAGCATCTTGCGGGCTTTCTGATGTTTTATGGTTACATAACTTTTTTAAGTGGTGTTGCGGTGGCTCAAGTGGTTAAGACGCTGAACTGCAGACCGGAAGGTCAGTAGATCAGCAGTTCAAGACCCGAGTGCCGCATGACAGAGTGAGCTCTCATCTCTGGCCCCAGCTCCTGCCAACCTAGCGGTAAGAAAGCAAGAAATTGCAAGTAGAAAGGTGGGAAAGGTACTGCTTTGGTGGGAAGGTAGCAGCGTTCAATGCACCTTGGCGTCTAGCCATGCCGGCCACATGACTGGCTCTTCGGCTTGAAAATGGAGATGAGCACCGCATCCCTAGAGTCGGATTCGACTGGCTTTCAAGCAAGGGAAACCTTTACTAGCTTTTTAAAAAAGACAGACTTCTCTATCCTGAATATCTCTGAATAGTGGAGGTTTCTGACAACCTTGTTGGTTTCTCTGCTACACAGGGAAAATTGAAGGCATACCTGAAGCACCTGGAGAAGCATCTAAAGGAGACAATGGAGGATAAAACTGATCAGCTGAATGAAATTGAGGCTCTGAAGGTAAAAGGGGGAGGGAGAGGTTTGGGGGCAAAGGCAGTTCAGTACCAAGGGGAGGTTCTTTTTCTGAGGCACAGGGGAGTAAATTGCAGGAAATCAGCATGTAAAGACTTTTAGCTGGGATCGCACTTCAGTGCCTCAGCTTGGATAGTGAGAGGGACGTCTGAGGAATGATCATGCACACTGACATTTTGCACCCAGGACCAGAGTTTGTGTGCTCCCATAAAAATGCATGAAACACGGGGGGTTATTTGCTGAGTGAGATTGGCTGCCGTGTGTGTTTGTGTGAACCTACTTGTAACAATCCCTACCTATTGCTCTCTGTGCCACAGGTGTTTCCCAAAGAGGTGTAGCAATTCTCCAGATTAGATTTAGTAACATAACGCAGGGAGTCTGAACTGGCTGAGGTGGGAAGATCTTGGGGTTGTGGTGGAAAGCTCAATAAAAATGTCAACTTAGTGTGCAGCAGCAGTGAAAGAAAGCAAACTCCATACAGGGACTGTTAGGGAAGGGGTTGAAAATCAGAACAGTCAATATATAAAGCTATGGTGTGGCCTCATTTGGAACCATTCTTTGCAGTTCAGTGTTCTCTCCAAGCCGTTCACCTTCAGCAGCCGCTAGTTAACCCAGGAAGCCCCGCTCAGCAGCAGTCTGGAGCCACGCAGGGTCCTGTACTGCCCATGGCCCATTTTAAGGTTACAGCAGTTATATTCTGCTCAGGATGTGACCTGCTCCGCTCGGGGGGGGGGAATTATGGGGAACATTGGCGCAGTTCTAGTGGTGGTATCTCAAAATGGACATAGCAGAGCTGGGAAAGATATAAAGGATGGCAACTGAGATGATGAAGGGGCTGGAACACCTTTCCTATGAGGAGAGGTTGGGAGACTTGTCAGTTTAGAAAATAGATGGCCGGGGAGGGACGTGACAGAGGTTTATGGAATTCTGCACTGGGTGGAGAAAGTGGACAGAGAGTTTTCCCTCTTCCCCCATAATACTAAAACTCAGGAGCGCTGAGTTTTAACTCAGAGTAATTTAAAATGCGGGATTTGCTGTCATGGGATGTAGTGATGATGCTTTGTGAAGGCTGGGTTTGCGCTCTGTGAACGCTCAGGGGTTAAGCTCAAGCTGGTATTTCAAGCATCCTGGTTAAAGAGGGGGAGAGCCAGTTTCCAAGAAAGAGTCTGTACAACCACCAGCAGGATAGTTAATGCAAGCTGAGAAGACAAAGAAGCAGGAGGATGCTGTCCTGGTCACGTAGGGCCAAAAGAGCTCTAAGTTCCCCATTTCCCATCTTGGCCTATTTTTACAAGGAGTTTTGTGGGAAGAAGGTGGCTGCCCTTTAAGAGTGAGGCCAGTATGCTTTTTTAAAAAAAAATAGTTTTATTAAAAGATAAGTCAAGTATACATAAACAAGATTGCTGTTTAAACATTAATACAAACTGTAAGTGCAGATACATATATCACAATGCCGTCTATTAACTTGTCAACAGGATCTTCCTATGACCATATCCTTGTCACTTTCTTGTGATTTTCCAATTATTCTACTGTTACTAAAGTAATAACGTATAATAGATCCAGATATATTTTAGAAGGACCTCAATAGGATTTTATGAGAGTGCTCAGACCATAAAAAATTCTCATAGATGTATCCATTCTGCATAGCCAGTATTTGCTGGTAATACATCGTTTTCTGTAAAATATGTTATGAGAGGACACCATTTTCGAATGAATCTGGAATGGGACCACGCATACCCTTGTGTCTGGGACTCATATCTATCTGCTACTTTGTCCATCAAGGACATCATATCCCAGGATGCTTGGGATACCAGGAGACCCACAGAAGCACCTGGTCTGAGGAAAGGTGACTAGTCAGCTGGGAGAAGTCCAATCAGAGAGGATCAGAGTCTGAACGACAATCCTGGAACCCCCTGAGTTATTTTGCCCCTCTCTTTAACATTACTGAGATAGATCTAGGGAAGGAGGAATGTGTGTGTATGCCTATGTGACTTTCCCTGTGCTCAGATGCTGTGGTCTTTTGTGGTTCAAGTGTATTTATTGGTGCATCCATTGTTTGCCTGTACTCTTTAAGATAACTCTAGTTTCTGAAAAAGGAATTTTTTACTTGGGTCTCTGCAACCACGAAACAGCCTCATGCTTGGGCTTATCGCTTATCCAGGCCCGTAGCCAGGATTTTGTAGCTTCTGAGGCAAATTCTTTTTCTGGTGGGGCTTCCATTATGTGCCATAATGAAGGAAGGTGGTGCTCGCCCCTCTTTCAGCTGGGGCCCCCCCCGGGGTATTTAGTGATGCATCAGCATTGGCCTGGCGGGCAAGGAGGCGTTGTCAGGGCCAGCCTGAAGTGTTTTTGCACCCTAGGCGAGGCCAGCTTGTGGCGCCCCCAGGCGATGCCAACCTCTCGGTGGGGCCTGAAGACCTCCCAGAAACACACCTGGGAGGGGGGGCACTGGGCGCCACAAGCTAGCCTCACCCCTGGCCAGGCGACAGGACTGGTGGGGGCTTCAGCTACGGAGCCAGGAGGTGGCGGCAGCTCTTTCATCCACTGGGGGGGGCAGAGGAGAGGGGGGAGTGCTCTGCCCCGGGCAGCGCCGGCTGAAGCTCTACCGGGTCCCAACGTGGGGGGGCAGGCCTGGAGGGCCCCGGTGGCCGGCCCCATCTCCTCCCATCGAGCTTGGTAGCTCCGCGGGGCCGGCTCAGGACTCCGTGGTGGCGGGGGGGGCAGGTCCGGACCGCGGCTACTCCCGCGCTGCTTAGGTAGCCTCCTTCCCGGCAGGGCACCGGAGCCGCTCCAAGCCTTGCGGGGGAAGGCCGTGGCGGGGGACCACTCCGGTCTCCTCCTCCCCCCAGTCCTCCGCTGCCGCCGCCACCCAGATAGCCAGCGTGGAGCACGACGAGGGGCCCGTCCTGGAGGTTCTTGGAGCTAGGGCGCAGCAGCATCAGGGGCGCAACCCGTCTTCGTTGGCCCATTTCGCGCCCCCCACGCAGCTGGGAGCAGCAATGGCTGGTAGCCGGGAGATCTGTGCAGGGCAGAGCTGCGTAGGAAGGAGGGCAGAGCCCAGCGCAGCACAGAGTCCCCAGAGGAGCACACCTTCCTCCCTCCTCACTTCCTTGGCCGCTCGCCTCCCCCCCTGCGTCCCCCTCCATCCTGATGGTGATGCTGCGGCGGAGGCTAAGCAAGCCGGCGGGAAGGGGCGCGTTGTGGGCACCCAGAAAGCCATGCTTGGGGCGGGCAGGCGACGGCGGCAGGGGCCTCGCTGTGTCCCTGGAAGATCTGCACCCTAGGCCAGATACTAGTAGGCCTAGTGAGAGAGCCGGCCCTGGGCATTGTCACTGTAGGCTGTTGGGATTCTATCCTGTCCTGGCTCTTCTGGTTTGGAGAGTGTTTTTCTGGTTCTGAATGTGCAAAACAGGATCAGGGTTCTGTTGGTGTGCTGCCCCACCCAGCTGCCCAGCCGTCTCCTTGCCAGAGCTGACAGGGGAGGTCTTAAGGCTGGTGTTGTGTGGTGTTGTGATCTGATGTGAAGACTTTGGGCTGCTGTGTGAAACAGGATGCTGCTGGCCTAGATAAACCATTAGTTTGATCTAGCAGGCCTCTTCCATCCTAGCTTACGTTAGACGCTGTTCTTTTAAATAATTCTCATTATTATGTTTCTGTACTTTTCCCTCAACAATAATACTAGTTTTTTGCTGGTTTGGATATTCTACTAATTGCAGGGCTGCACCAAAGACCTCTTGGGTCACATTTCCGAAGAGTTTGAGGCTCTCCACCAGATCTTGCACAAGAAAGAACAGGACATTAAGCTGATGGTAGAGAAGATGAAGGCGGAGAACATGGAGGAAATGGAGGACTCCTTTACCTCTCTGTTGGGAGAAGCGTCTACACGTACGGAGACCATTGACAAGGTCAAAGCTGCATTAGAAGGGACGGACCATGTTGCCTTTTTGAAGGTAGGATGTGCTTTGTCTAGCAGCTAATGTGAAAGACTGAGTGAGAGTTTCAGAGTGATGTCTGTTGTAGAACTCTTCAGGAGGAATCCCCTGGGTCTGGCATGGTGGCGTTTGGGTGCTAGGGAAAGGTGGTTTAGGAGTGCTTAATCAAGATACCGTGGCGGGAGCGAATTTAACACTACTTGCAATTAGCTCCCAGATAAAACACACCCCTATGGCTGTAAGCTGTCAAGCCACAAATAGGATGCTTCAGTTTTATTACAAGCCAGTTTGGTGCAGTGGTTAGGAGCACAGACTCTAACCTGGGAGAACCGGGTTTAATTCCCCACTCCTCCACATGCAGCTGCTAGTGTGACCTTGGGTCAGTCACAAGCTTTCAGAGCTTTCTCTCAGGAGCAGTTCTTGAAAGAGCTCTCTCAGCCCCACCTACCTCACAAAGTGTCTGTTGTGGGGAGGGGAAGGGAAGGAGATTGTAAGCTGTTCTGAGACTTTTTCGGGTAGTGAAGTTGTTGTTGTTCAGTCGCACAGTGGAGTCTGTCTCTTCACAACCCCATGGACCATATCACGCCAGGCCCTCCTGTCTTCCATTGTACTCCGGAGTTTGCTTAATTTCATGTTCATTGCATCAATAACACTGTCTAACCATCTCATCCTTTGCCATCCCCTTCTTCTTTGACCTTCAATTTTTCCCAGCATCAGGGTCTTCTCCAGTGAGTGCTCTCTTCTCATTTGGTGGCCAAAGTATTTGAGCTTCAGCTTCAGTATCTGGCCTTCCAGGGAATGGTCAGGGTTGATTTCTTTTAGGATTGATTGATTCGATCTCCTTGCAATCCAGGGGACTCTCAAGAGTCTTCTCCAGCACCATAATTCAAAATAATCTATTCTTCGGCGCTTGGCCTTCCTTATAGTCCAACTTTCGCAGCAATACATTCAGGTAGTGAAGGGCGAGGTATAAATCCAATCTCTTCTTCATGGTGGCTATTAGAATATTTGTGGTTTTTTGTTTTTTGTTTTAAAGAAAATCATTGTTTGCAGTTGTCTTAAGTCATTGATAATAATTCATTTAATGTTGTCATTAATACTGACAAGTTCCTCAAAATACTATATATTTACATCAGTCTTTTTTCCACACAGGGCCTTAAGGAGCTGATGGAGCGGTAAGTTGGAGCATCTTTCTTAGCTGCCCTTTCAAAACCTTCCCCTCCCATAAAACTCCCGGCTTAGCCCTTTTCTCCTTATTCCCAAGTGAAACTGAATCTAACTGCATCTCACGCTCATCCATTTTTCATCTTACCTCTTCCTTTTTTCCCTTGTCCTCCTGTATTGTGAGGCGAACAGGGCCCTCAGCCATCCATCATGGCACTAGGAGCAGGGGCTGTGCCGGCTCCTGCTGGTACGCTACATCAACAGCCGCGTAGATAGAACGCACCAGTCTTTGGCGAGGAGTTTGTCCAACAGAAAGCAGAGCCACCCTTCAAATCCAAGCCCAGTTTAATCAGTGAATCAAGGCAGTAAATTCCAAAAGGGTAATTACAGGATCCAGAGAGTTGAAGCACAGCACAAAATTCATGAGGAGGAGGCAGATACAATACGACAGACACAATGAACCGCAGCGAGGGTGTAGATCGACAGATAACAGTCGTGTTGTCTCCATGCAATCACCACCAGTCCTCGGTCTCTGCTAAGTCATTCTACCACAGTTGCCAAACAAGTCCAGCACACCAGAGTACCCGACTGACCACAGTCTCCCTAGTCCAGACCCCAAAGGGCTGCGACAGCGGTACACTAGCTTTGGGCTGAGGATTCCATTCTGCATCTGAAGGAACCACCTCCTTTGGTGGCATGCCCATTTGTTAGTTGTAAGCTTGGGTTTTTCTCAACCACCTCCTCCTCATCTGAGGAGGCTTCTGCATTCCCCTGCTCCTGGGTGGCTGTTTGTTTTGCATACTGCAGGGCACCTTTGCTGTTTTCTTCCAGAGCAGGCAGGGTGTCGTGCTGTCAATGCTAAGAGAACAGCAATGCATAGAATGGAGAGAAGCCACTGAGGCCTGTGGGGCAAACGTAGCCCCAAACTTCACCTCTGAGCTTCAGTTCCCAAAGCCACCAATGCACACTGCTGCACACCTTTCTCTCAAGCCTGGATGTGTGCAAAGGGCTTATAATCCAAGGCACAGGGAAATGATGGCCCAGGAACCCTGCCAATGCCTCCGTGGCTGTTCACAGTGTGGGAGAAGAGCCCTTTGCTTGTGTGAAAGTGTCAGTGTGTGGTGGTCTTTGGCCTTTGTTCAGTTGACAATATGGCCGCCATCAAGACTTTTTAAAATACTTTTTATTGGTTTTCTACTACAAACTACAAAACTATAAACTACAAAAGAGTGTAGCAAGGTACTTTGATAAGCTATTCATATGCTTTGGATATTTATCTACGTGTTTATGATTACATTCAGTAACTTAAGTTCTAATAAAAGTATTCAAAGAGAAAGTCATAAAAGCTTATTGGTTATTATATTGCTTCTGGATAATAATATAAAATCATTAAATGAAAACATAGGCAATCTCAGATCTTCACTTAGGTTTCTTCTTATCTTTGCTTTTCTTCTTCTTTTGCCAGGGGAGGTTCACTTTGAATGTTTTGAGAGCCATTACTCCCAAATCAGAGTCAGAGTCGAAGATTTCACCCAAAGACACAGAAGTGGCTGTAGAGGATGAACTATCCGTATCAGATTTTTGTTGATCGCTGCTTTTTTCCGTTGCCTTCTCTTTCTCTGCTCCGTTCCTTTGGTTAGATGGGGTTTGTTGTTGCTTAAGAAATAATTCTGCTTTTTAGTAAAGAGTCAATCTTTTCTTTCTTCTCTTTAACATTGAATATAAGTCTTTCTGGAAGAATCCATCTGTACTGGACATTGTTCTTTTGAAGAAATGTTGTAATATTTCTGTATTGCTTCCTTTTTTCATATTTCATATGGAACATCTTTCAATATTTTTATCTCCTCTTCTTGAATTTTGACTGTTGTAGCTGCGGATGCTTTAAGTATTAAGTCTCTTGTTGATCTTTTTGCAAATTTCACAAAAATTTCCCCTGGGAGATTTTTTTTTTTACAAACTCTGAATAGGTTCTATGAATCATATCAATATCCGCTTGTATTATTTCAGGTTTGCTGTTGATCAAGAGGGCCATTGCTTCACTTATGATTTCTCTTAGATTCTCATCCTTTTTCTCTGAAACCCCTTGAAATCTCAGAACATAGAAAGATCTTTCCACTTGTAGTTGTAATAATTGTTGTTTTTCAGAAGCTCTTTCTTTCTCTGCAATGTTTATTCTTTGGTCTATTTCTTTGGTCTTGATTTCAACCTTTTTTAGCTTTTTGGCTGATGTCTCTGTTTTGGCTGTAGTTTCCTTAAGCTCCTTCTGTAGTTTATTGAATTTCTGATTGAGGTTCATCATCTGATCCAGCAGAGGGCGCAAGGCTTCAGAAATTGTGGTAGCTATGTCGCTGGTATTTTACGGTCTTGTGACTGGTGATGCTGTGCTGGCATTTCCTGCAGAGTCTCTGCCCCTGGGCGCCATTTTTTCCCCTTGCTGAGACATTGTTTATATTTTGGTAAGAGTTCGTAAAAGTTCTAAGATTTTTCTACGGTGTAGATAAATAAACCTGATGCGTTCCGCTTAAGTAGGGTGGGTTTTTAGTAGCTTAAGCCCGGCATGTTTCGCTGCAGTCTCGCTGCAGGGTAGGGTTCTTCCTCCGTGAGTCCCCCCCTTTCTCTATGGAGCTGTGCCGTTTAACTGTATCAGTATTTGCTCCACCACCCTCTTTGCATATGTCTTTCTTTTTGAAGCTAACTCACTGTTTCTTTAATCGCTGGATCGCTTCACCACATAGGTAGAGTCTTATTGTTTAAGTCCTTGTACGCTCTGGTCCGGTAATGTCTCTAAGCGCCATTACTGGCCTCGGGACAGCGGGACCTTTCGGAGCAAAAAGGAGCTCAATTCCCCAAGCTGAAAACTTCAGGAGCGGCCCCTTCAGCGCTCCAGGCTAGAAGCTCCCTCCAAGAGCTTCATGGGGAGGTTGGAGCCGGCCGATCCCCCTCTCTGCTGCCCCCAACCAAATCGCCCCCATCGGAGCTCGATGGGGTGCATTTGTTGCGAGTCGTCGCCAACTGGAAACTCACCGCCATCAAGACTTAATTGCTGCTAGGGCTGGGTAGCCCAGGCTAGCCCGATCTCAACAGGTCTTGGAAGCTACACAGGGTTGGCCCTGGCTAGTATTTGGATGGGAGACCTCCATGGAATACCAAGGGCATGACACAGAGGCAGGCGATGGTAAACCACCTCTGAATGTCTCTTGCCCTGAAAACCCTACAGGGTTGCCATGAGTCGGCTGTGACTTGAGGGCACTTTCCACCACCAGGGCTCTAGAGGTGATCTCCTCTCCAGCCAGCCTTCAGGAACTAGGAAGAAAAAAGGAGAACTGATGTGGTGCCAGGGGTTAACATCAGGCCTGACACTAGTCAGCCGTTCCCCAGGATTCAGATGTCGCCTTCATTGTTGGCCTTTTATTTTATTCTCTTTGAGGGGAGAGGAATTCTCTCATGCTGCTCTTGATGCTTTCTGGTGTTAATTTTTTTTTGTAGGCTGCCCAGACTACCTCAAAGAAAGGCAGAATATAGTGAATACTCAAGCAGGGACCAGCAACAGTGCTGTAGACTGCATTCATTTGGCTCCTCATGTACCTCTTAAATTCAGTCCCATATAGAAACAACAGGATTTTTTATTTTATTTATTTATTTAGTGTCAAATTCATACCCTGCCCTCCCCGCAAAGCATGCTTAGGATGAGGTGTGAATTATGGAGAGGATGAGAAGGAAGTTAATCCAAGATATTTTGTTGCTGCTTCCTGCTTGCAGCACATAGTTTCTATTTCCTTTCTCAGCCATCCCCTCCCCCCAACTTCTCCATCCCATTTGCGTTGGGTCTTTT